TTTTATCACATCGTTTCATGGATAAATTATCTCAGTTATCTTATTTAGAAATAATAAGATAAATAGGGGCTGGAGTGATAGTATAGTGGCTAGGGTGTTTGCCTTGCATATGGCCGACCCAGGTTCAATTCCTCCATCCTTATTGGAGAGCCCAGCAAGCTACCGAGAGCATCCCGCCACTCGGCAGAGCCCGGAAGCTTCCAGTGGCGTATTCGATATGCCAAAAACAGTAACAAGTCTCACAATGAAGACGATACTGGTGCCCGCTCGAGCAAATCCAAGAACAACAGGAGGACAGTGCTACAGTGCTATTTTATTTAGATCTGGTCACAGGTGTAGGTTATCAGGAATCAGTCTTCACAAACTTGAATTCAATTTTATGATACCTATTTCAGTGAAGGGCTGGAGTGATAGCACAGCGGGAGGGCATTTGCCTTGCGTGCAGCCGGCCGGGGGAACCGGGTTCAATTCCTCCACCCCTCTCGGAGAGCCCGGCAAGCTACTGAGAGTATCTCACCCACATGGCAAAGCGTATTCAATATGCCAAACACAGGAACAAGTCTCAAAGTGGAGACGTGACTGGGCCCGTTTGAGCAAATCAATGAATAACGGGAGGACCGTGACCATGACTTCAGTGAAATTCCATACTTTTCTCCTAGTTTGTAAGCACTGGGGCAATCGCCATCTTTATGACATCACAAATCATCAGGTGGCCACATAATTATTACTATTGAAAACATGGTCTCACATTTCAGAAACTTCTCAAAAAAGAAATCAGCTTCTTACACCAACTCAGTAATCTTTTTTGCTGTCTCTAATAGATAGTGATCTTATGGTTATGATATAATGAGGCAAGAATCTTAAAAATCATGGACTTGTTACTCTACTTTTTATCAAACTAAGAGTATTTTACAGCAACTGTTTTTAAGTGAAAAAATTTAATAGGAGACTATAGTGTATAATGAAAAATAGGAATTTTTTGTATAAAATTTTATATTAAAATAGGGACACTCCTTCACTGTTGGTGGGAATGCCAACTGGTTCAGCCCTTTTGGAAAACAGTATGGACGATTCTCAAAAAAATAAAAATTGAGGAGGTTGGAGCAATAGCACAGTGGGTAGGGCGTTTGTCTTGCACGCGGCCAACCCGGGTTCGATTCCCAGCATCCCATATGGTCCCCTGAGCACCGCCAGGGGTGACTCCTGAGTGCAGAACCAGGAGTAACCCCTGTGCATCGGCCAGGTGTGACCCCAAAAGCAAAAAAAAAATTAAAAATTGAGCTCCCATTTGATCCAGCAATACCACTTCTGGGAATATATCCCAGAGAGGCAAAAAAGTATAGTCGAAGTGACATCTGCAATTGTTTGTTCATTACAGCACTCTTTACAATAGCCAGAATCTGGAAAAAACCTGAGTGCCCAGGAACAGATGACTGGTTAAAGAAACTTTGGAACATTTACACAATGGAGTACTATGTAGCTGTTAGAAAAGAAGAAGTCATGAAATTTATATACAAGTGGTACAACATGGAAAGTATCATGCTAAGCGAAATGACTCAGAAAGAAAGGAATAGACATAGAAAGATTGCATTCATCTGGGGAACATAAAGTAACAAAATAGGAGACTAACACCCAAGAATGGCCGAGATTAGTACCAGGAATTTTACTCCATGGCTTGGAGGCCAGCCGCACATGCTAGGGGAAAGGCAGCTCACATAGAGAAGGGAGCACCAAGTGAAGGGTGTTGGGAGGATCCTCCCAGGATGGGAGAAGCATGCTGAAAGTACACTGTAGACCAAACATGATTGTCACCCATTGCCTCTTTTGCAAACCACAACACCCAATAAGAGAGAGAGAACAAAAGGGAGTGCCCTGCCACAGAGACAGGGTGGGATGGGGGGGATGGGGGGTGGAAGGGATACTGGGATCTGTGGTGGTGGGAAATAGGCACTGGTGGAGGGATGGGTATTCCATCATTGTATAATTGAAACCCAAGCACAAAAATGTGTAAGTCTGCAACTGTACCTCATGATGTCTCACTATTAAAAATTTTTTTTAAAAAGCGGACAAATGATAGAATTTTATTGAAGTTAGAGTTCAAAATACTTAACCTTACCAGTGGACTATAGGATATAATGTTCCCTGGAAACCAAGCAAGTGACATTGTGCAGCTGTTAATTGTCTGTCCAAACAGGATATGTTATCCCCAAATGGCTGAAATCCAGTAATAATCCAAACCTCAATTTAGGCATAGATTGTAATCATCTACTCCAAGCTTTCAATGAAGTTTATTTACTTTTTAATTTAGCATAAATAGAAAAAAAATGGAGTAACTTGAGAGAAGAAACCCCAAAGGAATCCACTATGTAAAATCTAAATAATGCTAAGTCCTAAGCTGACCCTGTCAACTTCAGTGCCAGTAATGGCTCCCTGGGCTCACAACACACAGTTGGCTGGAATCAGTAGCCCCAAGTTTCTAAGTACTTCACCCAACTTCCTGTACAAGTATGTTCAAATCTATCGCTAAGATAAGACAGGCACTAATTTCACCCTATGATGTACCTTGAACCTAGTTCTTTCCCTGTTATTTTATTCATATTACATTCATTCTCTCTTTCATGATATTCAAGTCTCATAGTCCCTAGGACACACACACCTGCACATGCATGCTCTTAGACACACCACTCCTGCATATATATCCCTGGACATATACACAATCATAAACCATACTTACATGTACAATATAATACAGCATATCCTTGTACACACATTCTCATACCAGACACCTTATACACATCATACACTCTGTGTATACTCACTTATACATACACACTCATAAAATACACCCCTTCACACATGCTCATACCGACACAATTATACACTTATACATGTTCACAGAGAATGTAGATGTATACATACATATGCATTTCACAAATAGATACAGAAAAACATACTTCACTATCACTACATCATTGTCATCCTGTTGTTCATCGATTTCCTTGAACAGACACCAGTAATGTCTCCATTCTTCCTAGCCCTGAGATTTTAGCTAGTGCTACATTGGAGGCTCCTTCATGGTCAGGGGAATGAGACCCATCATTGTTACTGGGTTTTGGCATATTGAATATGTCATGGGGAACTTGCCAGACTCTGCTGTGCGGCCACGATATACTCAGTAGCCTTATAGTTAGTTATACACATTCAACATTCAACAGTGAGAATTTAGGAAGCAATATGCACTCATCCAATATGCAGGTCAAAGTTTTAAGCTAATGAAATTTACATCAAGAATGAAGAAAGAGGGAGATTTGGAGAGATTTGAGTCCAGGATTGGAAGAAAAAAATGTTGCCTTTGGTGAGTTTTCAGAAACAGCTGTAAGCTCAGGAGACAATACTCAATTTCCTTTCTTACCCATCTTCTCCAAAATAATAGAGGCAGTTTTGAGTCTCAACTGTTCCATTAATTTCAAAAAATTCATCTGGAATAAATCCAATGAATTTCAGTCTGTCCTTTAGAAACCGAATGTCTTTTGTGAGTTTGGAGTTTGGGGATGTGCAAAATAAAATATCCCAACTGTAGGTCAAATGGATGACAACAGACTCTACAGCATCCCTGTAACCACCAAAGGATCAGACTAAAGTAAGTTGATGCCTATGATGGACTGTGAGGAATCTCATTCCTCCCCACTCCCCCTGCTTGATATAGCTAAAGATTGATAAATAGAAACAACCTATCTGGACTGGGAGAGGACACAGTGGTCAGGGGTACATACTGTGTATACATAGGACCCCAGTTTCGTCCTCAGCACTGGAGGACTTCAGATCACTCTCAGAGATCAAACTGCACCACATTGTCAGATCTGAGTATTTAATAGTCCAGCCCTGTTAACTGAATATTATTGGGACTAGACATGAGGGCCCCTAAGCACTGCTAAAAGTACCCTGCCAAAATAATTCATAAATAAATAAGGGAAAAACTATGAAAGTCTATTCCAGGTGTTTCCAGAGAAGCTTTATCCTTTAATTTTATGTTTATTCCGTTTATAGGAAGTTGATTCGTTGGCACTGACATTGAAAATATCATTCACAGTATTATTAACCATAGGTTAGAATAATGATGATTTTCTGTGTTTTCCCAGATTTTAAGTGTATTTAAGCATTAAAAATTTCACCAAGAAAAGATTTGCTCAAATAGAAAATAAATTACCTAGTGTCTGCCCCTGGCAGGCAGGCTTGAAAGCTGGTGGGAAAATTCGAGCAAACTATAATGCCCAAAATTAGAGAGTATTGGAGAAATTGTCTACCATAGGGGCAGGATCAGGACTTGGCACAGGGGTGCAATACTGGGGACATTGGTGGTGGAAAATGTGCACTGGTGGAGGGATGGGTGCTTCATCATTGTATGGCTAAAACTCAAACATGAAAGCTTTGTAACTGTATCTCATGGTGATTCAATAAAAAAAATTGCTCATTAAAGAAAAATTCACCAAGAAAACATACCAATAGAAAAGACTGGTGAAATGAAAAAATGGCCAAAATTTTATTTCTATAGAAAAGAAAATAGAATTGCAATACTGCTAATAGTGATGATCAAAATAAGCTTTCCTTATACACCAAACCATAATGCCCAAAAGGAGAGAGAGAGAGAGAGAGAGAGAGAGAGAGAGAGAGAGAGAGGGAGGTGTCTGCTATAGAGGCAGGCAGGGGTGAGGGTGGCAGGAGGGATACTGGGATACTGGGAAGCTGGTGCTGGGAAATGTACACTGGTAGGAAGATGTGTGTTGGAACTCTGAATGACGGAAAACCTAATCATGACAGCTTTGTACATCACAGTGATTCAATAAAAAATCTTTTTTAAAAATAAGGTTTATGGAAACTCTTCTGTATTCTCATCCTGAAAAGCCAAGATTTATAACACTTTCCTACTGTATTTTTGGTGTAGTTCTTCAATCAGTTCTTCTACATCAGAGGTCTAATTTCTTTCTATTTGTTCCTCTCAGACTGCCACAGTGTCCTGGGATATCCGAACATTATACTCAACAGTACCTGAGGATGCGGAGTGCAAAGCAGAAAATCTACTGGTAAAAGAGGTAAGTGTGATGTTTTCAGTCCTTTATATCACGAAGTTTTGCTTTCTCCTAGGTTGTTCTTTATATAACTTACTCCTCCTCCTCCTCCTCCTCCTCCTCCTCCTCCTCCTCCTACTACTACTACTACTACTACTACTACTACTACTACTATCTTCCTCTGTTTTTCTACTTTTTCTTCATTAAGTTGTTTATTGTTGAAGTAATATCGTACTATAATATCGTGTGCAACCAGGAGTGCATGAATATAGTTCCAATATGATGATTAGTTGGTCTTTCAGATTTCATCATCTGTAAATGTTTTCACTTTTCCTGATATTTTTCTTCCATTATCTGATTCCTAGTCAAGTGTTGGATATTTCTTTCTTGTTTTGACTTCTCATTGAGTAAAGATGTGTAATGGGCAGGAGCGATAGCACAGCGGGTAGGGCGTTCGCCTTACAAGCGGCCAACATGGCAAACCCGAGTTCGATTCCTCCGCCCCTCTCGGAGAGCCCGGCAAGCTACCGAGAGTATTCGATATGCCAGACACAGTAACAACAAAGTCTCCAATGGAGACGTTACTGGGCCCGCTCGAGCAAATCGACGATCAACGGGAGGGCCTTTTTACCTTTACAATAGTAGAAACACTTTATTTTTGTATGTAGTCTGAGTAATCGAGAAGACCACAATGTGAGAATTCTGAATAATCATTTTTGTTTTAAGAGATATATTGGTTTCAAGAAATCCTGATGGGCTCCAAGGCCAGAGAAAACAGGGGCCGGGAGGATTGGTCAATGAATGGAAGGTTGCCACAAGTTTGTGTGGGTCAGAAGGTAATTAGGGCAGGACCAGTATGACAATATGACAATAATAGTTGGAAATGATCATTCTAGACAAGAACTGAGTATTGAAAGTAATTGAAAGTAGGTAAAGGGATATCCATGATAACTTTTCAGTATCTATTGAAAAACTAAAAGAAAGAAGAGAGAGAGAAAGGAGAGAGAGAGAGAGAGAGAGAGAGAGAGAGAGAATTGCCTGCCATAGAGGCAGAGGTGAGTGATGGGGTGCATGATAGGAGGGAAACTGGAAATATTTTTGGTGGGAAATGTACACTGGTGAAGGGATGGGTGTTGGAACATTATATGACTAAAACCCAATCATGAACTGCATCTCACTGTGATTCGATTAAAAAATAAATAATTTTTTTAAGTTTTTTTAAAGTTTTTGTTTTTTAGACATATGTTGTTTCAATAAATACTCATGGTAAAACAACCTTAAGGAGCTGATGTTTGAAAAATGTGCTAGGACAGCATCTATTTGCATATAATTGGTATAGGAGAGTTCTATAAAACTGTTCTTCTGAGGAGACTACAGACTAATCTATGGCAGAGATTGGGCACATAATAGCTACTTATCAGATCTTTATTAAATGAATAAATAAAGCCATAAAATGCAATGATACAATGATAAAATTTAGTCCCACAGTAAACTGTAAATAGTAGAATCTAAAATACAGCCTTGAATCCTAAGAAAGTAAAATATCTCAAATAGAATTTAATTAAAGCTACATCCCACTGCAAAATCCTTTCTCAAGTCTTAATTATATTTATTTAAAATAAGCCAATTCTCTCTCTTAATGTATATGTTAACACTAATATAGTTAATTTGACATGTGGTTATAGTAATAAATCAAAATTATAAATTTAACTGAATTTCTTTCATTTTCATTATTTCCTACTCACTTTCCAAAGTTTACTTAAAATTATACTACCTTCTAAATGGATTCAGATTCAGGTAGCACAACATATATGAGTATAATATTTTCCTCTTACCAGTAAAAATAATGTAGTAGCAATACCATGATATGTTGCTTACAGTAGTAATTGAGGAAGTTTTGATATCTAGTACAAAAGACTGCTTAATAAAAGAGAGAGAGAGAGAGAGAGATTTGTCTGAGTGTTTTATTTACAAGAAAAAAAAATCTGGAAAACAAACAGGCACCTAAGAATGTAAAAATACATGCCAAACACAGTAACAACAAAGTCTCCAATGGAAACGTTACTGGGCCCGCTCGAGCAAATTGATGATCAACAGGAGGGCCTTTACCTTTACCTTTAACTTAGAACATATTTTAAATATGTATGGTATTACTTATTAAATAGAAATGTTTAACACAATTTTTCTTTGTTCTTTTTTTGAATATTATTCATTCTTTGGTTACTGGAGAGACAATATCCAAGGGTTGGGAACTTGCCTTGCTCATAGTCAACCAAGGTGTGATTCCATGTACCCCAAATGGTTCCTTGAGTCTCACCAGGAGTGATCACTGAGTGCAGAGCCAGGAGTAAGTCCAGACAAAAACCAAATAAAATATTGTTCTTTCTTCATAAAGGTTTTTAAACTTATTGAAATGTTCACTTATGTTACATAGAGGTTTATTGAAAATGTAAGTGGAATTTCTAAAATTTATTTTCTTCTATTCCTGTCCATTATTTTTTTTTCAGATTATTTATTTAGAGGGTGTTGCATCACACCCAGTCATGTTCAGGGGTTAATCCTACTCTGTGCTCAAGAACTACTTCTGGGGGCTGGAGGGATAGCACAGCAGGGAAGGTATTTGCCCTGTACGCGGCCGACCCGGGTTTAATTCCCAGCATCCCATATGGTCCCCCGAGCACCGCCAAGAGTAATTTCTGAGTGCATGAGCCAGGAATAACCCCTGTGCAATGTTGGGTGTGATCCAAGAAGCAAAAAAAGAAAGAATTACTCCTGGTGGTGCTTGGATTACCATACAGGATGCAGGGATCAAACTCCAACAGCTGCATACAAGGCAAACACCCAACCACAGACTTTTATTCCAACCCCTCAATGCTATATTTTGAGCCATTGTTTTTCTAAATATGTGTATTTAGATTGCTAAACTTTCTCTTCCTAATAGTTTTTTGTTTGTTTGTTTCTGGTGTACCATGTCACCTACAAATAATAAAACACTTTTCCTTTTTTTTTCATTTCTTTTTGGGTCACACCCAGCATTGCACAGGGTTTACTCCTGGCTCTGCACTCAGGAATTACCCCTGGCAGTGCTCAGGGGACCATATGGGATGCTAGGAATCGAACCCAGGTCGGCCGTGTGCAAGGCAAACACCCTACCCGCTGTGCTATCGTTCCAGCCCCCAAACACTTCTATTTTAATTATATATTTTTCTTAAATTTTTGTCTTAACTTCTCCAATACAATTAAAACAAGGTTGATTGATAATTCTAGTATCAATCATCCTAGCATTCTTTTTTTTACAGGGCTCTTTTATTTTAATCTTTGATACTTCTTGAAGTTTGATGTCCTTTGACAATTACTGGCATGAAATAAATGTCTGATACGGGTCTTTCATGGTTTCTGCAGTGCATGTAAAGATTGACTACCTTATCTTAGAAAATTTACACTTTAATGCATTGGTTAATAGCTCTTCTGCTTGACTTTTACACTGTAGTAAAATCAATAGATATTATTCTGTTGATCAATAAATGTATTTCAACTATATACTCATTTCTTCAAGTTAGTTGAGTACATTGCCTTAGTACTCTTTTGCATTAAAATTCTTGTATTTGATCTTTAAGTTTTACATGTATATTTGTAAATTATTTGTAAATTAAATTTATCTATTGCTTTTTCCTTTGGCACTGGAAAAATGTTAGCTTTAGAAATAAATTTGCACTGTCACTGTCACTGTCCTCCCATTGTTCATCGATTTGCTCGAGCGGGCCCAGTAACATCTCCATCGTGAGACTTGTTGTTACTGTGTTTGTCATGTCAAATACATCAGGGGAACTTGCCAGCCTTTGCTGATCTCGGTAGCTTGCCAGACTCTCTGAGAGGGGTGGAGGAATTGAACTCGGGTTGGCCATGTTGGCTGCGTGCAAGGCAAACACCCTACCCGCTGTGCTATCGCTCCAGCTCGGACTAACCACTTATATCAGTAAAATGATACAATATCTAGAAACATATCCAATTTCATAGGGTTAGTTAAATACTATGGTAAATGTGACTTTTCAAGTTCTCTTATGAAGTCTGGGCAATTTATTATATACTGTTTAGATATTTATCTTTGAGAAAATTATTTAGATCTTATCTGATGCTACATACAAAAATTAATTCTAGATGAATAAGAAATGTTTTAAAAATAAAGTAGGGCGTCTGCCTTGCACGCAGCCAACATGGCTGACCCGAGTTCGATTCCTCTGCCCCTCTCGGAGAGCCCGGCAAGCTACCGAGAGTATTCGATATGCCAGACACAGTAACAACAAAGTCTCCAATGGAGACGTTACTGGGCCCGCTCGAGCAAATCGATGACCGCTCGAGCAAACATAGTAAGCTATTTTAAAGAAAAAAATTTGGGGGGGATGTTGACAAACTAAAACACCTCCAAACTTTCATATGTTTATAGTTGAATGGTATCAGAAATAAAGCTAAGGAAGTTATTTGAGAAATTATTAGTAACACATTGCATCTTTTGCACTCTCCCATGTATTCATACTCCAAATGTTCAAAAATCTTGCTAATTAATACACTATCACACTGTCACACTGTCCTCCCATTGTTCATCGATTTGCTCGAGCGGGCCCAGTAACGTCTCATTTTGAGACGTGTTGTTTTAACCCGAGAAATTATTCAAAAAAATATAATTAGCAGTCCAAAAAGTGCATTTGGCCAGTAGACATTCAAAATGGCTACCCCCCACTTGTAGCCATAGAAATGCAAATTAAAACAAAATGGCATGAAAAATGAAGAGTATCATGTAACAGAACTGAGAATCAGCAGGCACAGAGAAAAAGCACAGCAAGTCAGGCATTTGCACACAGCCAGTCTGGCTTTGACAGCACCCAGAGAATCCCCAGAACCCCTCCAGAAGTGATCCCTGAGCACGGAGTCAGGAGTAAGACTGAGCACTGCTAGGTGTGGCCCCAAAATAAAAACAAAACAAGGAGTAGGAATAGGGAAAATAAGTATCCCAATGTAATATCCAC